CCTAAATAGGAAATATAAGAATATAACTATCTAGGATAAGATAATAGTAACCTATTAAACCCAAATTCTCTTTTTATAATAAAAGATTAATAATAATATTATATAGGATTTCTAATTAGCCCTAATTAAGGCCTTTATAAGCCTAGCTTAGAAAGAAACCTAGTATAATAGTATCTAGCTAGTAAATAAGCTATTAAGTAAAAACCGGGAGTTACCGGAGCTAGAAAAGCTATAAGATAAGGCAAGAAATAAGAAGAAAGGCACTTGGATACTATAAAACGGCCTCTTCTTATAATATAATAAACTATTTATATCTAATAATATAATAATACCCAAAATACTCTTATATATTACTCTTATTTAGGAGGTATATATATAGCCCCTAATAAGATACCTAGAATAAGCCAAGCTTTAATAGCTTCTTTAGGCCCGCTATTACTAGCTAGGCCAAGGTATAGATATTAATTAGTATAGGAATAACTACTATATCTATTAATAATTCTATATTTCCAGAAATAAGAAGCCAGGGCTCTTATATTTATTACTAGTCCCTAATTACTCCTAGTAATATATATTAGTAAATTTCAAGAAATACCTAAAGAATAGGAATAAGTATAATATAGTAATAATCTTTATTAATTATCTAGGCAAGTACCCTATTATAATTCCTATTTAAGATATAGTAATAGCTAAAGAGTTAGTATTCCTATTTCTTACTTATATAATTTGCTAAGTTAGTATCCCGGAGACTATAATATCTAATTAAGGCCTCTAGTTTATATTAGATTTCTGGAACGAGTTTTATAAATATATTAGTATAAAGCTCAAGTTATTAATTACTAATTATTCCCAAACTAATAGCCAGATAAAGATTATTAACTAGTATTTTAACTAATAGCTATATCCTTATATGAATTATTACTAGAATAATTAGAATAAATAAGTAGTAATAATTAACTACTAGTAAATAGCTCTGGTTTATAAGACTATAAGCCAATTCCCGTTTCTTATAGAAAAGGGCTATAAACTACGGATATTATTTAACTAGGAAACCCAAGTATAATCGGGTACCCTAAAGGAAAAGCTAAATAGACAGGAGACAAAGGCCCTAGTAATATAGTTCTATAAATTATAATAAAAGATATAGGAGAATATAATATAAATATAAGAATATTATATTACTTAAGCTAATAAGTACTACTAACTAGTAGACTTCGGAATAGGAAACAAGATATGAATTATTACCAAGTACTAGAAGAATAATTATCCGAGCTATAAGCTGGCTTACTAAATAAAAGAACTATATGAAATCCTGAAATAAGTAAGATATTTCTTTAGACTTAAGCTTCCGGAATTAATAAGAATATATCTGGTATTTTATATAGAGAAGCTATATAAAGACCTAGGTAATCCCCTTTCCGGATAAGCAAATCCGGAGCCTCTATTATTAGAACTATAAGACGGGGAAATAGAATATAAAGTTTAAGAGATATAAGTAGTAAAACTGCTTTATAAGAAGCTAAAGTACTAAGTCTAATAGAAAGAATAGGACCCAGATCCGGAGTAGTATCCTGCTTCCTTATTAAGTAATAGTATCCTAGCTCTTTAGAGCTTCTATAATAAAAACCCCGAATAGCTAGGACTGCCCCAGAATCTCTCCTATTAGTTAGACTATACCAAGAATAATATATTACCGGAACCATATAATATAAACGGAAATCCTTTAAAGTTATATATAAAAGGCCCTGGCCTTTAATATATAACCTGTAACTTGGAAATTTAATAGGGATTTTCAAAGCTCGAGAATAAGCTTATTTTGAGAAAGAGAAATAATATTATAGTTATTATAATATATAGTACTAGTAGAAGTTAGACTAGAGCTAGAAAGGTATCTGGTATTTGAGTAAGATATCTATAATTACCTAATTATTATATATAACCCCGAGCTTAAGCTAGTATATAGGCCCGTATATAGCTTGCAATTATTTAGATCCGAGACTTTTTCGGGATCCTCTTCTCTCTTTAGCTTTAAATTATTAAAATAGAGATAGTCTAACTATATCTTTTAGGTTCTAGATCTTGTATTTATAATAATTATTTTATATTATATTAATATAAAATTTATATAAATATATAATTAGTTTAAAATTCTATTTTTTATTTTATTTTAATATTTAATATATTATTTTATTAAAATTAATAAGCTTTTAAATATAAATAATATTATTTCTTATTTATTTAAAAAAAAAAATATATATAGTATTATTAGTTATTAAATTATATTATTAATTATTATTTTATTAATATTATAAACTTTTTTTAAAGCCTATTTTAATATAATTTTAATTCTTTATATTAGAAAATATATAAAAAGAATTTATTTTAAATTTATTTTTTATAAATTTATTTTTTATAAATTTATTTTTTATAAATTTATTTTATATAAATTTATTTTTTATAAATTTATTTTTTATAAATTTATTTTTTATAAATTTATTTTTTATAAATTTATTTTTTATAAATTTATTTTTTATAAATTTATTTTTTATTTTTTATAAATAAAAGATATTATTTTTTATAAATAAAAGATATTATAAAATAAAAGATATTATAAAATAAAAGATATTATAAAATAAAAGATATTATAAAATAAAATATATTATAAGAAAATATATAATTCTTTAAAAATAACTAAAGTATTAATTATAAATATATATAAAAATATAAAAATTATAAAAATAAATAAATTAAATTAAATTTTAAAAAAATAGCTAAAAAAAATTATTATAATTAGAAATATTATTAAAAAAGCTAAATTCTTTTATATAATAATATTAAAAATAAAGTTTTTAATATTATTAAATTTAAAAACTTAAAAGAAATTATTTTATTATAATATTTTTTTAAATATTTTTATTTAGCTAATTTAATATATTAATATTTTCAATTTTAGTAAATTAATTAATTAAATTTAAAATATATATTAATTAAAGATAATTAATTAGCTAAAATATAAAAATAATTAAATAGCTAAAAAAATACTAAAAATAATTAATTAGCTAGAAAATTAAAATAATTAAATAACTAAAAAGCATTTTATTAAATTATAATAAATAAAAACTAAAAGTAATTAACTAGCTAAATTAATTAGAATAATTAAATAACTAGAAAATAAAAATATTTAAATAACTAAAAATATTTTATTAAAAATAAAAAATTAATAAAAAGAAATTATTTATTTTAATTTATTATATAAATAAATATTTTTATTAAGAAATTTTATTAAAACTTTTATTTTTTACTAATCTATTAATTTTATATTTATTAAACTAAAACTATATAAAAAGTAAATCTTTTTAAATATATTATTATAAATATTAAATCTATAATTAGAAAATAAATTAATTAAAAAAAAGAATTAAAACTAAAAAAGTAATTAAGCTAATAATATAAAATTATATAAAATATTTTATAAATAAAAATATTTATTAATAGAAATTAATAATTTATATTATTAAACTTTTATTATAATAAAATAAAAAAATAGTTAAATAAGATAATTAAATAAAATAATTAGCCTAAAAAGATAATATAAAATAAAAATAATAAAAATAATTTATTAAATTAAATTAAATATAAGACTTAAATAATTCTTATTATTCTTTACTTTTTTTATTTTAATAAAATTATATAATTTTCTTTTATAATTTTATATATTTATATATTTATTTAATTATAATAGTATTATAATTTTAAAAAACTAATATTAGAATTTGACTTTTAAAAGTATTTTTTATATTATAATAACTTTTAAGAATTTTCTAAATCTTTTATAAAATTCATATTTTTAATATTTTAATAGAAATATAAGTAATTTAAATATTTAGTTAATAAATTCCTTTATAAGCTATATTAAAAAAACTCCCGAGATTTAATACTAAACTTAATAAAGAAAAAAAACAAAGTAATAAAAGCTAAGGAAAGCTTTATAAAATATTCGAGAACCTTAAATACTAAAGAAAATAATTATAAAAAATAAATAAAAAAAATATATTATAATAAACCTATATTTTAAAAAGAAAACTAAATATATTTAATAGTTAATTTATAGTACTTTCCTTATCTAATATTATAAAAATAGGCCTATATAATAAAAAGATTAAAATAACTTATTATAGGGTGGCTTAAAGATTAGGTTTAACTCCTAATATATTACTTCCGGTAGCTATAGCCCTTTGGCTAGTGCTTATCAAGTACTTGGAACCCAAAAATCAATAATAATATAGTATAAGCCGCACTAATTTGCTATATAATTACTAACCGTATTTCTAAGAACTCGGAAATCTTGACTTATCCCTTTGTCTGGTAAGATATTACTATATTAGTAGCCGTATATGAATATTCCTAATTTAGCCAGAATATAATTTAAATTAGGGATATTCATGTGCGGCTACTAATTATAACGGCACTGGCTGGGGGCCAAAGGGGGGTGGCTATCACATGACTGGTTTCACCTAGCTAGCCGGCGTTTTAGTGGTTTTAGCTAGTATTTCCCTCCTTTTATCCCCTTTCCTTCTCTCTCTCCTTCTTCTCCTTAGCTTAGTATTCTCAATACATGGGATTTTCCTGGATCTTTGAGCCTTTGTACCATTGCCTCGATCCCGCCGTTACACTAATGTGGCAATGTCTTACTAGACGAACAGATAGTGCTTATCTCGGCTTGGAAGCTTATAAACTAATTACTTATATTTGTGAATGTATTTGCTAGGAAACCTGGGAATTCTATACTAGTTGTGCTTTGGTACCAGCAATTATAAGGCCCAGGTGGTCTTGCACTAAGGTGCACGTGATATCGCGTTGTCAGCCGCGAGAGCAAGGCTGCCGAGCAACATCAAACACCCCCGCGATTGACGACCTATGCATGACAACGCAGATTCACTTTCAAGTCATTGAAATATTCAATTCACTATTATCTTCCATAATAGCACGCACAAATTACTATGTATTACGAACGACGTCCTCTTCAAGAGGTCGACAAGAACCAATCCACATGTCCGCGACGACTACCTCCCACCACAACTCTATCACGAAATAGCGCGACCAACCATCCGCGTAGCTTTTCAACAGGCACTGCCGACAAGGAGAACTTCCAACCCGCGTCGACCCAATCCGTAAAGCAATCGCTCGCCGAGCGAATTCAGTACCCTCTCGAAAATTACTACAATCTTCAACTCGAATCCTGTGCCAAATTCAGGGGCAAACCCTGTCACGTACTCGTGGAAAGAACAGATGAAGATACGCCCCAAGCAGTTGTGATCAATCAGGCCTTCGACTGGGCTCCTGGAATCATGGCTAAAGATCCGAATAAAGCCAACACCGGGACTAACACAAACCGCGGTACTTCAAAGCACGAGTCGAAACTCGAGGCCTTGGGAATAGATATTTCTCCAATACCCGACCCGGCAAGAATACCTACCGTAATACGAAAGGCTGCCCGAAAACAACCTGTTATTACGAATCGCCGACAGGTTACTGACAAACCGGCAAGCATCGCTAATCAGTTCAAACTCCTACTTTCACGAAATCCTTCGGAGAAAACTCTTCAGCAACTTGCCCAAAATATACTCTTCCCTCCGCCATACGTCTGCGAACATATAGACGGCAAATTGCATCAGGCGGATCTCAATGAGCTACCATCCACGTTTATAGGATTTGGCGCCAATAGCGACGTTCCTGAGTACACTTTTATTCGGACACGCTCACCGTTTATTGCCAGGGAATTCACCTCGCTCCCTCAATTCGGTATCAACTCTATTAACGAAGATCAACCCGAGCATGCTAGCAATAAAGAAGACGTTGTGGAGGAAGCACAAGATTCGAAACACGTGGCCAAGACCTCTCGCGAACATAAACAACGAAAGGACAATACTACGGCCAAGATAGCTACCACTAGTCGTCCAAATGAATCCGACTTGCGCGGCGTTACGGATATAGTCCGTATTATAACAACAGGTTTCTTCAAGAAGTCCCACGCAGGGCTTCGGCATACATTGGGCGTCATTGGGAAAGGGCACTACTAGGCACCGAACATATTCTTCGAATATAAGAAGAACGAAAGAGGCCAGTTAGAAGCTCGCCATCAGATAATGACCCAAATATATATTAGACACGTGGAGATAATAAGGCTAAGAAGAAGCTAGCCTTCACAAAGGCAACCTACCCGGCCGGACTACAACTTTGGCCTCACCATATGTGGCAGTATCGTTAAGGTGTGGATAATAGAGCCCAAGTCAGGCACAAATTCAGTTAAGGGCCAAGATATCGACATAACTCTCTATAACCTTCAAAAGCTATATAATTTTAGCCTCGAGCACGCAAATGATATCAAAAGCCTAATTACGGTTATGGAAAAGCTCGATCAACTGCATGCCCAGATTGCCGTCGACCTGGCCTCGTTAATTGAGCCCGCTACCTCAGAGCAAAATCAACTGAATTTAATAACATCTCAAGTCACGACGCCAGTCCTAGCTAAAACCAAGGCCGCCTTCGTTACCCAGCTGCCCGAAAGGCAATCGATAATCGAACCGCCTCCTCCCAGAATACAATTTGGAATTAATAATAAATCTTCCCACAAACTGCAACCGGTAATCGAACTAACTACTCCTATAATACAATCTGGATTTGTAGTTGAGAATAACACCAAATCCTCGGATCTGCCCCCTGTGAGCACGAGAGTAATGAACTTCTTAAGACCGCGACAAAACTCTGGGCCTTTAACGCCACCACCCGTAACTAGCTCACCCGACCGGCCCCCGTCCAAAGGAACCCCAGTAACCAGGGTGGTAGCAAGCAGACTCAGAAACAGACTTCGTAAGCGCGGATAAGATCGAACTTCATGCAATAACTATCTTGCCAGGTTTGTTATTTGGACATGCTCGCAAATCCATTCCAAATCGAACTCGAACTAATCTATAGCTCGCTCACTATTAAGGAGGGGAGATCATGCGTAGTATTAGATGGGCTAGATGGGCTTGGCAGATGCTTTAATAACGGAAGGATATGTTAGGGCTTAGAGGCTCGAGTAGGTTAAAGCATAGGTTCTCGTGAATTATTAGTAATGCTATTTATATCCGCTTTTAAAGTCAGTTAAACCGGTATTATAGAAGCTTGTTTATATGGGGTATTTACAAGATCGCATCTAGCTTAAGGGTTCTCTTTGCCTGCCCTTAGAGCCAGATGCTCAGGCCTCTAGCAAGGCAAATATAGGAATAAAAGATATATATAAAAAAGACATTTAACTTATATCTCTTTCCCGAGATCTCAAGACCTCTCAAGACTACTCTAACTAAATTATTACCCTTATAAGATTAGAGAGTAAGGGTCTCTTCTCCTTGGGAGTAAGTATACGAGGCCATATTAGAGACACAGATTCCTGAGGGCTTGTCTTTGCATAGATTAAGTTATTTCTGGAGCATTATATAAAAGCGACTCGAATACGTTAAGAGAGGCCAAGCCATACGAGGTACTTTTATTGAGACTCTGGGAGAAATAATATCCTTTATATTTCGATTATCTTATCTCTAATATTAATATTATCGTATTAAGGAATCGCTATAAGGGATATAGTATTAATTTTCGAGTTACTAATCCGCTATTATTAGTAATGGAAGGTGTTTTGTATTGAAGTTTATAAGGGACTCGAGATTAAAGACCTTGAGTTAGGTATTACTACAAGTAATAGAAATACAGAAGTTAAAGACGCCTTGAGCGAAATCTTGGTACATATTTTGTTTGCTGCTTCTCTAGATTTCAAGAGATCTTCGGAGTCCTTATATAGCCAGACATAATCTTTCCTGGCCTTAGCCCAATGCCCTTTCATTTGCATTACCAAATTGGGAATTGGCTACGAAGTATAAGGTTTCGCAGTATAGAGTTCATAAATTGTCTAGAAAATATTAAGATAATTAGAATATATCCCGGTTAAGATATAGAAGAAGTTCGAACCGTAAAGCTATCTCTTTGGCCGAGATTCCCGTAGGAAGCCATAGAGTAATATATCCCCCTTTTATAGAGATTTCACTACCAGGCAAGCACGTTCTCAGTACTCTGTATTACTTATATATCCAATGGATATGCTATTAAATTAGCTAGCCACAGGCATAAGTGGTTCCCAGATTACTCTTCAAGTATGAAAGTCTGTGGGAATCGCTCGAGTTAAAGGTTACTATACAAGTGTTTCTATTAATGGCTCGGCAGGAGGAGATTCGGAAGCCGTTAGCGCTAAGATCGAGCTTGAGGGAAAAATCATTGAGGGCTCTAGGTTCTATAAAGAATTAGAGGTTAGTAACCAATTTGAAGATACCCGAAATGGGAATCCGCATTACCTCAGGCCCCCATTACTGGTCCCATGTCCCATTCCAAGTCACTCCAAGGGCTTCTTCCCTATTAATATTTGGGAAAGAAACGTCTGGGCTATATATTGGTCCTTTGGTCTCGAGATACGGAGGACTAAACGGACTCCATGGAACAAGGCGTGAAAGAGGAGCCTCTATTAGTTTGGGTTCGCTGGTTTGTCTACCCCAATCGGATCGCAGCCAAGCATGTGTCCATGATTTCCATATAAGTTCTCCTCGCTTATTGAATCTGCAGATTTCCTTGCTCTTGAATAACCGCCCTTTATCCCGAATGAAACTTTCGACTCTGCTCCGGCAATACTCGAGGAAGTCTGGATTTATATACACTGTATTCTCGATCTTGAGTTACTAAAAAAGCCTCTGTAAATTGATTGCATGTACTAGTCGAGGTTTTTCAACGAGGTTGTGCTGTCGCATAAATCGAATAATCTCAAGCTGTATCTGCGGTGGCAGTTTATATTTCTTCTCCGGGCCCTTATTCATATTATTCCACTTCAAGCCATTAATATTCAAGCATCGATCGTGAAAGGCATATAGCTCTGTAATAATCTTTATCTAGTTCCTACGGAACTCACGCCGTATCTTGGCTTCGCCCTTTTTAATAAAGGCCTCGATGCTTCTGCGAAGATCAATCAAAGCTTGTCGTGTTACTATTATCGTGAGTATAGTTGTCAAATGAATCAAGAATTTGGAAACCACCGACTTCCAGGGTGTGGTTTAATTAAAATATTAGATAGAGAGAATAGTAACGGACGTGGGAATTAATTAGAAGTGGTTTAATTATAAATGTCATTGTTCTACTACGGTGCCTGGACGATTACTTAATATATTAGTCAGCGACCATGAGTGAACTCGCGAATGCCGGAAAATAGAGGTGGCGAGGGGAACTTCAAATAGAGGCATATTTGTTTGAGAAAACTTCATAATAGCAAGGGATTATGGAAAACGAGACCATAGACAGGAGCAAACGGAGTTGAATTGCAAGCTGCGTAACTAGCCAAAATACCTTCTAAAAGACCTTTATAGAGTCCCTCGAAAGTGGACCTCCCGCGACCGGTAATTCCAATCCTGAGTTGCTTACTTGATTCCTTATGAGTATCGAGTGAGGTGCTTGCCGTCCCAGTAATCGATATACCGAGATTGAAAGAGATGACAATATAGTGATTCAGGCTACTAATATATCAAACATCGGCCCTTTGGCTATTGCGAGTGTTTCATACTTGGCATCTTATTATGGATGACTCAGACAGGAGTTACTAGACTCAGATATAGTAGTATTCTCAAGTGGGCGTTTCTCTAGGAAAATGGTGCTTCGGATACTCCGAGATATCTTCTTCTTCAGGTCCTGGGAAATAGCGTATCCATTAGTTAATCCTCGTTAGGGGAAGATGCAGAGTCGCCGTCATTAACTGAACCCCAAGCAGAGGTCGGAGTGGCGTCCTCCATGTCCCATAGTTCCCAAGCCTTAATAGGCCGAAGTTCCCGCCACATTCAAGCATTGCCGTCTCGCCAGACATCGATCCTCTTGGGTAGTAGTTGCAGGTTAGCCTGGAGAGTGGACCAGGGGGGTCTTAATACGATGCCACTCAGGTCTGTGGGATAAGGGGATTACTGGCTAAACATCCGGATTAATATCAGGGTATTTTTATACCTTGCAGGTAAGAGTACGGTCATATTACGAATGGCCCGGCAAATAGTACCATTATAATAACTGAGGGCCGGCAAATCGGGAGAGTCAATAAAGCCGCTTCGAAAAGCATTTAAAGTGGCATATTGGCCCTGGAAAATCATCCTTAACAGACCCATCTAATAACAAACGCGAAGGTAATTAAACAAAGAGCAGATACGGACGCGATTATATTAAACCGAGATCGCCGCGTTGCCAGCAGGGTCGTGAATGGCTTGTTAAAGGTGACTAGGGCCAAAGTTCTGGAGATAATTCACCAGGAATAAATATCCATTTTTGAACTGGGTTCGAACCCAGGCAAGTTGCTCTAGGCATTGGCAGGAGCTGCAGGGAACCCGAGGATATGGAGGATGCGGATTCCGAATACACCTGTAAACTTTGAAGAACTTGCAGGAAAGGAGAATTGAACGTGCCCTCATGATATACAGAATAATATCCGCGTAAGCAAAGTCGTGGAATAGTTAGTAATTATTAATAATATCAGGGGAGGTTTGCCAACCTGGATTCTCGAGGCAATTGAGGAAAGAGAGATCAACGCCATAAACTTCGAGGAATATTGTTCGGACCCGGTCAGCTTGTAGTCTGCTCCTGCCAGAAGATGCACGTTGAAGCAATATGATATGTTAATAGACCTGGGCGGTATGCTTTAACCCCATAAAGTCTAGGAAGAGTTCTTCATCTCGACTATCTAGCATGACCCTATGGAGATCTCTATATAGTTCCAAGAAGTACCCTTCTGCAAATAGTACCTAGTCCTTCTCTATTACCTCGACAAGCTATGTAATATTTGCAAGATGGTCTTGAGTTTCGGCCAAGAGGAGTTCGGTTACTATAGTTCGAGCTTCATGTTCCGCATATCGAGTATTATGTTCCGCAAACCGGACTTCGTAATCCTGGAGCTGCTTTGTATAATTAGTATTCAGATCTGCGATATGTGACTCGAGGCGGGCAAAGCGATCTTCTATGGCTGCAATATCAAGGTTTTGCAATATATTAGTGCCGGGGGGCAGTATTGAGGGACTGGGCGGGGAGGTCGTCATTGTGGTGTATTTCCGCTATTAACTAGAGGCGGGATTAGCTTGCATAAAATTGTGAGTCAAATAGTGCCCGTACCTAAGATAAGACTCTGAGATGCGCTCGATTCAAAGGCCAGCGAAGGTTGTGTACTTCGCATAACGGATTTGGCAAGAAGGCGAGAGGAGGAAGCAGAGATAGCCAGGGCGGGAATTAGATTAGATTGGGATTAAGATTAATTAGGCTAAATGCGAATAGCGCTGCGCAAATAGTACGTTCACGTTACGGGCCACTGATCTTCTAATATGAATATGGAGGATAATAGGATCAGAAGCAGAAGATGCAACTTCTCGTAATCCTGTATACTATTAGGAACTTGGTCTCGAGGCACTAGAGGGAAACTAGTAATAGTTAAAGCAATTATTTAATTAGGGAGGGAAAGAGAGGATCTACCTCGAGATTATCTATGGTAATTATATCAAGGTTAAGATTTAAAGGAACCATGCGCGATCCGATTTTCGAAGTTACCCCTCTTGGTTTGGATATCACGTGACCATAAATATAATAATATAATAAAAGGCTTTTTCTGAAATAGTATTTTACTTACTACTTTTTAAACCAAGAATTCTTTTACCTTAATAACTCGCTCGATTCATACAAATCCTATAAATAAGCTCGAAATTATCGAGCCAAACTTTACTTAATAACTATTAGAAATAATACTAATTTTATAACTAATTATATCTTTAAATATACTAATATATTCTTATTTACTAAATTATATAATTTTTATTAAAGGCTATATAAGTAAATATAAATGCAAAAAAGGCCAGATTTTTTTATTTTAAGAAATTATATTTTAATTTTAAGTAATTTTGCTTTTTTAAATATATTTAAATAATAAAATTATATAAAAGAAAGTCTTTTTTATTCTAATAATAAAACTTGATTTAAAAAATAAAATAGTATTAAAATCTCTTTTAAGAAAAGAAGATAATAAAAGAAAATAAATAAAGTATTTAATTTTATAAGAAATTCCCTAAATTTCTTTTAAAGAAAAAATAAAATAAAATATACTTTTTTTAAAAAAAATATTTTCTAAGCTTTTTTTTAAAAAGTATTTAATAATTAATTAAGTATTATTTTAAGTTATATAATAATATATTTTAATTAAATTCTTTAAAAGCGAAAAAAAATAAAGAAAACAAAAGAAAATTCTTAAAAAAAATCTTAGCTTTATAAAGGTTTTTTTTAATAAATTTATAAATTATATTATAAAAAGATTACTTCTTTTTTAATTAAATATATATTTAAAGCTATATAATTCTATTAAAAGATTAAAGAAATAAATATAGGAATTATATTAATTACTTTTAAAAACTTTTAATATTAAATTAATAAGCTATATATTATTATATTTAAGTTTTATAAATAGTAATTCCTTTATAATAACTTTTTATATAATAAAAAATATTATTAATATATTTAAAATTAAAATAAATATTAAAATATTAAAATTATAAAACTAAATTATATTTAATTAAACTAATAAATATAAAGTAATTAATTAATATTTATTTTATATTTGAAATTTTAATATAAATTTAATAATTAATTAAATATATAAATATATTCTTATTTATTTTTCTTTTTATTTATTTTATATTTTAAAAGAATTTATATTTTAATTTTAATAATTAATTAAAGTTAGGATTTATATTTAAAATTATAATTCTATTAGCTAAAACTTTTAATTTTTAATTATAAAAACTAGTATTTTAATAATTAATAATTAAATTAAATAATTAAATTTAAAATTTCTATTTAAAAAATTTATTTAAAATTTCATTTTATTATATATTATAAATAAATAGCTAAAGCTATAATTTTAATAATTAAAAGCCGGAAATTTAGGTTACTTCTCTTAATTTTAATAATTAAATAATTAGATCTCGAGTTTCAATTATTAAGTAGCCAGAATTTCAGGCTACCCTTATTAATTTTGATAGTTAAGCGGCCGAAGCTTGGATTTCGATAGCTGAGTAGCTAAAGCTTAATTTCGATAGTTAAGCGGCCGAAGCTTGGATTTCGATAGCTAAGTAGCTAAAGCTTAATTTCGACAGTTAAGCGGCCGAAGCTTGGATTTCGACAGTTAAGCAGCCGAAGCTTGGATTTCAATAGCTGAGCAGCTAAAGCTCAATTTCGACAGTTAAGCAGCCAAAGCTCAGATTTCGATAGTTAAGTAGCCGAAGCTTAGATTTCGATAGTTAAGCAGCCGAAGCTTAGATTTCGATAGTTAACCGGCCGAAGCTTGGATTTCGACAATTAAGCGGCTGAAGCTTGGATTTCGACAGTTAAGCGGCCAAAGCTTGGATTTCGATAGTTAAGCGGCCGAAGCTTGGGCTCTATAGCTGAGTAGCTAGAGCTTGATTTCAATAGTTAAGCGGCCGAAGCTTGGATTTCGATAGCTGAGTAGCTAAAGCTTGATTTCGACAGTTAAGCAGTCGAAGCTTGGGTTCTATAGCTGAGCAGCTAAAGCTTGATTTCGATAGTTAAGCGGCCAAAGCTTGGATTTCGATAGCTGAGTAGCTAAAGCTTGATTTCGATAGTTAAGTAGTCGAAGCTTGGGTTCTATAGCTAAGTAGCTAAAGCTTGATTTCGATAGTTAAGCGGCCGAAGCTTAGATTTCGATAGCTAAGCAGCCGGAATCTTAGCTTTGGCTACTTAGCTATTAAAATTAATTAGGGCAAGTTAGAAAAAAGTAAATATCGAGTAGGGAAATTATGCAAATTTATAAGGAGAAATAATTCATTATAGTCACGACTTATTAAAATTGATCCGGAAGACTATAGTAACCCTTAATTAATTATATATATTGCACTTTTCTTAAACTTAAAGTATTATGGGAGGGAAACTATAATAAGACAAAAACCCACATAAAGTATACTAGAGCACAGAACGTGACTTAATAGCAAATTAACAAGAATAAGGGCATGCGTAATAAAGCATAAATAGTATATAATTACAAAAGCTCAATTAATTAATATAAAGAAGGAATAGATATCTAGAATTACAGAAAAAGCCAGCTTTCTTATATAATTCTCGCAAGTCACGTGCAAATAGCCCCAGGGTTTATTATGTAACCAAAACCTCAAAACTGCCAAAATAACGCGATTTTTATAGAGTGCGGCTTGCCATACTACAGTATCTCTAATATATCCGCATCTAACCCTCGAAATCTGCTTTGTCCAGGAGCTCCCTTAGTATAAGTAAAGCATCCGTTATTATGGTAGCTATCTCCGCCTCTGCCTGAGCCTATTCTAAGACCTCCTTATAATAACCTTAAAGTCGATTATATTACTCTATAGTATAGTCCTGGCGCTTTATTGTGAGTTTATACCGTTTACCGGAAATGCCATAAATATAATTAATCCAAGTGTCTTTATTATACTTGTGTTCTAATTTGCCGAGATTAACTAGCATTTATTAAGGAGCTATAGAGCAAGTAACGTATTTTGATTTATTTGGTTTTTGAGTATTTAGGTATAAGATAAGATCTTTAATGCGCTTTTTAAGGACAACGAATACTATTCCAGAGTAATAGAGACTTGGGGAGATATTAAAGGACATGTGAGCTCGACCTATATTAATCTAATATTAGCTTGAGATCTCTCGATATTAAGGACACAAGATCGACTAATAGAAGCAATAAGATTACCGAGGATAATAGTATTATAGCTAAAGAGCATAATACAGAGACTCAAGCTACCGAGTACTAGGTAATGGCTAGAGAGTACCAGATTATAGCTAGAGCGTGTAATGCAGAGATATAGGCTAATAAGTACTAGTAAGATATAGGCAATATAGGCGCAAGTTCGAATTATTATAAGAGGAGAGTTTATGGTAAGAGAGGCTATAATGCAAGGTATGGCTAACTAATTATGGTAGATTAATTAATAAGTACCTGCTGCGATCATATAGAATTATAGTATTAAAGAGAAGTTCTTTATTTTAGACTTATAAAAAGGTAAAGAACTAGACGTCCTTGAGGCTCCAAATTCACTATTCAAGCTCTCGTAAAAGTTGCCAACTAGTATATAATCGTGATTTCTTATTATATTTGTTTTAGATAAGCTAACTATAATTTAAAATATAGTAAAATATTATTATAATATAAAATATCTTGAGAGACTAGTAGAATATATAAAAGAGCTAAAATTTCGAAGAAACAGATTTGGTAATTATAATATTTGTAACTTGTTATACTAGATAGTAATAACTAAATATGCCTAGTCTATTATTGCAATTTGTTACAATTTAGAATATTAGAGTATTTAGGTAAGTAGATTTCATAAATTAGAGGTCCATTTTATAAATACAATATATAAAGACGGAAGGTCAATACTATAGGCTCTATTAGCTAAATATAAATACTACTATAAACTCCTCGAGTTTTTTGCTTGTGCGTAAATTAACTCCGTTTTGGAGAATACTCCGAGAAAGAAACCGAACTCCGTATAAGACTCTACCTATACTCAATCCATACTCCATAAAAGTGCATACTAGAAACATGAGAACTCCGGCCCCGTCCCAATTACCATAGTTTCGTATATCCTTTCTTGCCCCATATGCAAAGCATTACTTATCAAGAATGAAGTCGTCTTCGCAGGAAGGGATAGCAAGCTATAGGTACCATGCCTTGGCCAATTTGGTATCTTTAATAACTCATAGCCGCAGACATCTGGCAGATTCCTTCTTCTTCCGTCAATACTCTGCCGATTGCTTTTCTGAATAGTGTTCCGCGAGACGCTATATCTGACCGTTCTGTTCTGCCATTGCATCAAATAATCTAGAGATCCTTGCTATAGTCCGCAGAACGAATAAAGATAGTTGTGAGTCTCTCTTGTCTTCCTTAACCAAAGCTCCGTATTTCTGTCGTAGCTAGAGGCATTTGCCGTACCCGTTAATATTATCGTATGCCAACGCTATGCAAGCATTTACCAAGTCCTTATTAATACCCAATTTGTCTAGTTGTCTATTGAGCCATTGCAAGAACTTCGCCACAGGCCGTTGTGCAAACCAGGAACTAGCAAGGGCTGCAGTTATATTAGAGTACTTATTCGGGCTAATGTCGACTAAGGGCAGGGAGGTGTCTCTCATTAATGTTGGCGTGGGCGTGGGGAAATCAAAGGGTTCGTCTAACTCGGGCGTGCTGCTTCGATATGGCGCGACTTGCTTTAAAAGAGTACTAAGGGCAGTTCTGGGGGCGACAGGCGGAACTTGAGTTAACGCCACATTCCGGCTGCAATCAATAGTTGGAGTTATTGGGATAATTGGTATTAGTAACGGAGTGGGCATTATAGTAGGCTATTATTCCAAATAGTTAGTCATATTTTGCAATTTATCTTTACTTCATAGATTATAGGCACTTACGTGAAGCTTCTTCCATTTGGTGAAATCAGCCAGTGCAATCTTGTTGTGGAGAAGCTGGCCGTGGAACTTTGAATTAGACAAACGGGCCGGACTGTGGCGGGCTTCGAAATAAGACACGAGCTCTTCGATTCGAGTATTAAGAGAAGAAGCCTGGAATCTTATTAAAGGTTAAAAAGGCACCAGGCTCATAAGCCGGACTTACCATTGCGTCCAATTGAGAAGACTATGGAAGGGCGGATTTACGCAAATCAGATATCTGCCAGAAGCCACTATCCACTAACTAATCTATTACCTAGTCGAGAGCTAGGGGCTAATCACAATCAGGCTATGGCCGTGATAACGAATGGCGAGGAAAGCCAAGTTTGAAGTTGAAAAGTGAGGCAAACTTAACGAAGCTAAGGGTCGCGTGTTCCCATACGGGTGCAAAGATTGCAGTCACAAGCGCTTCCAGGGTAAGGCGTGGGTGCAGAGACCTCCGAATGGTAATAGTATAAGTGCAAAGAACACGAAGTAATAAAGCGCAAAGATTTTGAATAGCTATGGTGCAAATCGCTATTATTAATATTAATATTCCTGGTCATTTTGGGACTAGCGCCATCCCCGCACCCGTAACCCCACCGAAAGATTTAATCTCACGATCTCCACTTGTCCGATCCCAATATTAGCACACATTGCATTTGCTCTCTTTGAGAAGTGTCATATTCCGCGAATCCTATCGAACCTGTGATTGCTATGGAAGGCAAGGAGTCCAATTACAATTCCGATCGCGAAGGCTCCGGTAATATGGCAACGAAAACAGGTGCGACGACCTCACCCCCGACCTCACCCCCAACCGCACCCCCGAAAGTACCCCCGAAAGCATTCCCGAAAGCACCCCAGTTCAGATTTCGCACACTTGTAAAGAATGCGACTCTGCCACTACCAAACGATCCTAATATGCGAGAGAGGCGCATTAAAGTCATGGAAATAAATAATAGTGAACTCTAATACAAGGTCCCGGTAGAGGACATTGAAAAGAACCCTCGATAGGCCAAATACCAGGATAAAGAGAAGACTTCCTTGAAGAAAAAGCCATTAGAATCTGAGTAGAAGGATACTAGGGAAGCAAATAATAGCAAGAAAGGAGAGGAGGAGATTCCATAGTCCATGAATCGTGGCAAATGGGGAATTATTCCATACTATTAGCTATTATTAACCCAGCTTTCCAAGTTAGACAAGCCGGAAGACTTCCACTTGCCTAAGGACGAGAAGCTATACGAACCCAGAGGTATTAACCTTCTATAGCTAATGCGGGGAGAAGGAACCAGGTATAACGAGGAGGGCAAGAAAAGAATTCTTCACGCATAGCGCTGGAACATGTCGGGCCTTTACAGAAAAGACCTTAATGCAGAAACGTGGACCACCCTCTTAAAAGACCTCGGCATTGACCGTCCCGAATATAATGAAATAGTTCGAAGAGCTCAAGTGGACAAGTTGACTGCATAATTAAAGAATAACCAGGAGTCCTTAATGAAAAAAGGTCTCTTGGCCTTTATTAGCGATCCTAAAAATCCCCAGGACCCAAAGAAGCCTCGGTGGGTAGCGGGAATAGAGTGGGAAGATATTAAAGAGGCGGATATTAAGGCGGTAATAATACTAGCTGCAGACCTTGCCTTTGCTAAGATTAAAAACTTGGCCGAAGCAAATTGGTCACTCTTCTCGCCGGAATAGAGGCTGTCCTTGTCCGACCTTCTTTGCAATGGCCCTCAATTTCTCGTGTCAAGTATTAAAGGCAGGTCTTCCTCGAGATGATTTTAATTATTGGCTAACACATTAGGGCCTAACAGGCAATAATTCACGAAGTCCAACTCCGGTAGCAGACATTGCATCTCCTAACCACAACCCTTCTAGTAATAATTCAGTAAGAGTTTCACTAGTATATAATAGACTCTTAAGTATTATTAGCGAGAAGGAGAAGAATAATAATAACTATTAGAGGCATTTATTGGGTAGTCCTCAGACCAGAGCTGACCGCACGGATCGACGATCAGGGAGCGTCGGAAGTAATAGTTCGGTGGTTGCCAGATTATTAGCGGGGCATAATCCGCCAATAGACTAAGGTAGGCTCGAGAGAGCACCTTTATCTCAGAAGCTAATATATATCTAGGTACGAGTTCTCGCGGGAAGGATTATAATAGCGAAGTCGCGACAAAGCCTGTAATTAGACTACTGAATTATTAAGATAACGTGAATGAAATGCGGGGCAACCGGCATAGTGCTCGTAGAAACAAGAATCCTCAGGAACTATTAGAAGAATTTAATACTATAAACAAGCGCATTTCTGGGGATCTATTAGGGCAGAGAGCAAAGAAGAAGAGAAGAGGGGGCGCTTAATAATCCATAGCTAGCGGTTTCCTTAATAAAGGGAGGCTAATTAATAAATGAGAAATTATTGAGTCTTATAAAAGAATTTATAAAAAAATACTTAATATACCTCGAGCATAACTTCTAATTAAAAATAATTTAGAACTTATACCTTACTTGCCATTATATTTCAATGTTCTTTGCTTTACTATTCGATATTATAAATTATTATATTAATACCTTAAGGCCTTTTAAAGGGTTTTATTTATATAATCTGGCAAGCTTTTATAACCCTTCCCTATTTAACCCCCACCCTCCTCTAATTTTTTTATTTAAGAAAGATAATTCGAAATTAATATAAAAAGCCTATTACTAACCTATTCCCCTCTTGCTCTTCTCTTACTAGCTATAATAATTCATTCTTTACTTCTCAAAAATAACTTCCCAAATAGAAGAATAACTCCCTAAATAGAAGAATAATTCCCCAAATATAAGAATAACTCCCTAAATAGAAGAATAACGCCCTAAATAGAAGAATAATATATTCTTATAAGTTTTTATATTATATTTAAAGTAGTCTTCTTCTCGATTTATAGTTAATTAGATTAATTTTATTTACTTCTTGATTTATATTAATTTGCATGATCTTGGGTTACTTGTGCTTAATGAGCATATATCCCGATTAAGCGACACATATATCACGCCCAATTTCAAAAGATAGGGCTTTGCTGGGATAAGAAGAACTTTTTGGAGAAGATAATTCTCGGGCCTTTTAATTCATGTATTTATTATTAAAACTGAATAGGTTCCCTCTATCTAATTCTAACTAACCCTTATTACTCTGATACTCGAGTAAAGAAAATCTTTGGCGGAATTGATTCAAGCCCATATAAGATCGTTCTATAAATACTAATTAATGCAGGATCCTCCAAAGACTATTAATCTTTATACCGTTTTTAAATAACCTCTGGAGTTAGACCCTTTACTTGGCAAACAAGCCTGACTTGGAGACGGTTTAGCGTCTTCTCCCAGTTACAATCTTTTAGCAGCCGCTCCTAATGTGTCCGACCTGTCTAGCTTCTCTTTAAAAGTTTATATATTCGTTCCCTAAGATTATATATACCAATAGTGGTTCCTGGTTGGAGTACAGGATGTGGACTGGACGCTAATAGTGACTCGAGTTGAGGCTCTCGAAATTCCTGTATATCGGATCTAAGGGGAGGCGAGATTGGGAGAAGAAGCCCGATATTATTCTGAACCAGATAGCAGGGGATAGCAGCTTGTCTTTTGCGAATTTCGGCCTTTGCCTTGGAGGGACTTCACGACCCGGTTTAATAATATAATATAGCTACCGAGAGACTATTGCCATTCGCATTTTCAAGTCGGTGCCAGGCCATGGCATTAGGACTGCCCTGGACCGATAACAGGTTGGTTCCCATCTTTATACTAGGATCAATTACCATAACTAAGATATCGAGCCCTAGGGACTGAATTTCGTGGACCTTTAAATACTTTAGTTAATACCTTACCTAGTTGGATTCGAGGATTTCTTATACTCCGTTCCGTTTGCTTTAAAGCCCTCGTAATAACCTTATTCTTAACCTTCTTAGTACAGTTTTACCAGTAATCTAGCTACTCTATTGTCTCGCTATTGACCTCCTCCCGAGGAATGGGCAGTGGGGGCCTAACCGCTGGGCGATTTTCCTTGTCTGCCATATGCTAGTACCTAGCTCTTTTAGTCTTTGAAAGCTTCTTATATTAGTCTGCGAGCCATGTAACCCCTTGCCCGCCTTATAGGGTCCCTTTAATCTTCTTCTTCTTATTAATATCCTTGAACTCTGGCGGTATTTTTTGGTGATTATATCTAAGGAATATTTGCCACATACTACGTATTCTCGGCAAAGTGAAGTAATAGGAAGCATATCGTTTTAATGCGACCCGAGTAACTATCCGCACATTAACTCTCTGGCTTGTGGCAAGTTCGCCCAGTATTCGTTAGAGCTTATTAGTAATCTTATAAGCTGCAGCCACGCCCTCAGATCCAAGATCTGTTTTATTATTGAGCTCCTGTTCCTTGTCCTCTTTAGGACCGTTGGCTCTAGTGTAGCTGGCGTTACTAATAGTTGGCATGTCGTCCTATATATATTGTAGTTCGAAACCAAGTAGCGTATTCTCGTCGAGATAGCAGGCTTCTATTAAAAGACGACTATATATCTTAGTATTAATCTTAATAGAGGGTTTGGGCATATATGCCTCGGGACGCAATTCGCAAGAAAATCGTGGTGCGATATAGACCGTCATATTAGTGTTCTTAATAATTAATGTCCGCTAGGGTGCGGGAGCCCTTGTGAGTTGGTCTATTTATATTACAACTCGCTCCCGTTAAGTAGGCATGATTTATATACGAAGTATATTAATTAATATTAGTTATATTTGGCTAATATCTATATTGAATTCTATGCTAATAATGAAAGTTTATTAATATCTGTATGTAAATCAACCAGGCGGGAATATCTCCGTTTCCTTAATAACTACTTCACATAAATACTTGAGAAAGAGGTGTCCTGTACCTCACTTCTAGTACCTGCTTAATCCAATATCCTTTTTGTATTATAGTTATAATTAGTCTCTGGGGTAAATAGACTCAGACGTAAAGTTCCTACTAAACGAGAAATTTCTTGATACTGACCTGGCCTTAGTGCTCGTGTCTATTTTTTCGCCTTTGACTTGCTACCTCGTTTCTTAAGCCTTATATAGTTGTGAATATTCTACTTATTGCCCTGCTTAGCTAGTTGCATATTAATGTTCGAATTAGTCTATTACATAGAGGCAATTATGGTCGCATTCTCGGAGGTAGTGAATCAAGGCCTCTTTTTGGCAAATGGCGGACATAATTCGTCCTCCGTAACTAGTCTCTCCCTGGGAAAAGGAAATTCTGGGTATGAGCTTCGTGGCGGCTGTGCTCGCCATTCAAGCTAGATGGCTAGGAGGGTATGTTGTTCTGCTACTAGAGTATTGCTCTCATAGTTCTCTGGAGCTAAAGGTACTAGTTCGTTATTTAAGTCTTTGAAGCCTGCCTCGTTTCCTCCGTCGGATTCCCTTTCCTGACTGCATTTACCCTTCTCGGGTATATTACTGCCATAATGTGAATTATATACTGCGTTGATTTATATTGCTCCGTTGCCCCATTTTTCGAGCCCTGTCTCGTTGCCATTATTTGAATTCCTTTCTTTACTGCTTCTCCTCCGCTTCAATATATAGCTGGCGTAATGTGTATCCTCTTTGAGTAGCTGGGATAAAGCAGCTTCCATAGCGGGAATCGCAAGGCGCTTCTCTAGCTCGTGAAGGTTACGTGCCTGGAGTTTAGGGGTTGTAATACCTGCCCCAAAATTAAGGTAGCGAAGGTACTCTTGTCTCCTTAATAGACTTTCCTTATTAAAAGATGGGAGTTTCTTAAGTAAGAGATTAAAGTATCTTTTCCGCCGCCTTACTGGGAAGTCGCTAACACCTTGCTGAGCCTTCCTTGCTCGAAGGTTAATAAGCCCTAATTTAAAACAAAGATTAATAAGAGATAGTTCGTCCTCTGTTCCGTGCCCTGGCGCACGGCCTCTCTTTTTAATCTCGTACCTTACAAGATTCTCTGCAAGGTTTCTGCCAATTAACGGAATAACTTCGGAGATAGAGAATAAAAGTATTATATACTCGTGAATGAGCCTGAGATTCCTCTCTATATTAATTTTAAGCAAGTTATAAAAGAAGCAGTTTAGTAAAACGAATAATTTCGCGATACTAGTTTCAAGTACAAGCGAGCCTGGCACAGATTCCGCCCCTATTACCCCCCCCCCTTTCCGCCCCCCTAGCGAGAGGAAACGGGACCTACCAGACTAGAGAAGCAGGCCTCGAAGGCCATGGGTTAATTGGGGCCCCGGGCACAAAAGAGCGGGGGACACTTCGTTTGCTCAATGGGCTGCGTCTCCGAGTAATCTCTGTTTATTTCCTCTTGGGAATCGAAGATCCCATGCATGGAACCTGTAGCATCGGGTATCATTCCGCCGCCTACTTTATAATAAGTACAGGAAAACTCGATAGCTCGACTTTTGATCATCTTATAATCCTGGCAAGCTAGTACTAATATGCCTCCCTTAAAGGAAGTGTAATACGAAATGCAGTTAATAAAAACCGCCTAAGGCAAGCAAGTATAGGAGAGTCTTATTAGGGGTGCTTTCGCGTGCATTACTGGCGTAACGGGCAATTATAAGACAAGGCTAATATTGGCTCGGGGGAGCTAGCTAGATGGCCCGGAGACGTGAATGTGGACTTTTGTGGACGTGCTCTGGGCAAAAGGCAACGTATAGGGTAATTGAATTGCTTCTCTGGTAACTAGTAGATCCTTGCCGTGCTTAAATAAGAGTAAATTCATATTAGTTCGCGGAATATGGGCTGTCAGGAATCCCTGAGTAGTGGGAAAGCCATTATAGCTCGAGAGCAGCAAACGTCTTCTTTATACTACTAATATACGGAAGGTCAGCTTGGTAGGGTATGATTAATCCCGTCTTCTAAAGACAGGCTTCTAGGAAAGCGGGTCAGAAACTATAAGTCGGGGTAAGAAACCCGATCTCTGGCATAATTTTCAATCTAAAGTTCAAGCTTCTCAACTTTTTAATTAATGCTTTTATACCCCTCCTAAACCTACACGAGCATTTCACACTAATATGTGCCGTGTTAGAACTTTCGTCTGCGTCCTCTATAGTTATTACACCCGATAAATTGATCTCGGGCGCCCCTATTGCGGATTGATTGAATAGATGAGGTGCGACTAGCTAGTAATAACGATTAAGATAACGAGCTCTTATTATGGAGCAATTAGATGTTCTGAGTACTAGGTAGGTAGCCCCTTTCTTTTGAAATAATATTCCGAATCTGAAATAATCTAATACCTTTAGTAATATAGGATAATTATTCAAACCCGGACCCTCTTTTTATAGCTGCTTTCTGGGCGCGAGAGATACAAATGCTGGAGTTTTATATTTATTGGCTGTTTTAGCATTGGCATGACGCAAGGAGAAATGGGTTGATTGCACGCCCAGGCCTAGCATTATGGCCTGTAGAAGAGGATAATAATGCGAGCTTGGATGAGGAGGATCTTTAGATATATCGTGGAGTATTTATATCGGCTGTTTAACTATCGAAACCCAATCTTTGGCTGCTTAGCTATTGCAATCTGGTGAATTAAGTCTTGAGTGCAAGCCCAAGCTTTGGCTGCTTAACTATCGAAACCCAAGCTTCGGCTGCTTAGCTATCGAAACCAAGCTTTGGCTACTTAATTGTCGAAACCCAAGCTTTGGCCGCTTAGCTATTATAATCTAGTGAATTAAAATGTTTCGGCCGCTTAACTATTGAAATACAAGCTTTGGCCGCTTAACTATTGAAACCAAGTTTCGGCTACTTAGCCATTGTAATCTAGTGAATTAAAATGCTTCGGCCGCTTAATTATCGAAATATAAGCTTCGGCCGCTTAACTATTGAAACCCAAGCTTCGGCTACTTAACTATTAAAATTAAGTTTCGGCTACTTAGCTATTATAATCTAGTGAATTAAAATACTTTAGCTACTTAACTATTGAAATACAAGCTTTAGCTACTTAACTATTAAAATATAAGCTTTAGCCGCTTAACTATTAAAATACAAGCTTTGGCTACTTAATTATTAAAACCAGGCTTCGGCCACTTAGCTATTAAAACCAAGCTTTGGCTATTTAATTATTAAAACCTAAGCTTTATAGCTATAGAACCCAAGCTTTAGCTATTTAATTATTAAAATTCAAGCTTTGGCTATTTAACTATTAAAACTCAAGCTTTAGCTACTTAGCTATTAAAATCAAGCTTTAGTTACTTAATTATTAAAATCAAGCTTTAGTTACTTATTTATTATAATCTAATAAATTAAAGTCTTAAAAAAAATATTCTAAATTTATTATTAAAGTATTATATAGGAAATACTATTTATAATTTAAACCTCAAATATAAAATTCAGGTTTCTTATTTATATATAAAGCTAAAAGCCTTATATAAAATAATAGTAAATAAATAAAATCTTATAATTAAATATAATTATATTAATTTCTAATTATAATATATATTTTTTATATTTCTATATAATTTTAATAATAATAATCTTTTAAAAACTTATAATTATATATTTTATTATTTTATTATAATAATACTAGAATTAATTAAGAAAACTAGTTAATAATATAAAGTTTATAACTTTTATTATATATTATAAATATAAAAATATATTTATAAAAAAATAATACTTTTATTATTTATATAAAAAGTACTTTTATATTTATATTAGAATTTCTTTATTTATTTAATTTTAAATAAATAATTATTTAGGCTAATCTTATTTATTTATATTTAAATTAATAATAAATAATAATATTATTAGTTTACTAGTAATATATAGTACTATTATATAAGTATAAAAGTACTATTTACGTAAAATTAGTAAAGTTATTATTATTTAGAAATAAGAATTATAGTATTATAATATTAATATATAATCCCTAAATTTACTAAGCCTAAAGAAATCTAGTTTACTAGTTAAGTTATTAATAAGATACGAGGTTATATAATTATATCCCGTATCTTATATTCTATTACTTATATCCTATTACTTATATCCCGTATCTCATATCCCGTAACTATATATATAACTCCTAAAGAAATAATTATACTAATACTAGAAATTCTCTAAAAACGCGAAAAATAGTATTTCCCTCTAATTACATACAAATTTCCTAACCCGGCCTAGTACCAGATTTCCTAAATACTTTATATATCCATATTACTTCCGAGGTTTTAGTTATATACTAAAGGCCATAGCCTTTTATATATAACTTCCCTTTCTATAATATTCTCCTATTTTATATATCTATTTCCTATTTTATTTATACTTAACCTATTTCTTTATATCTAATTATATAGTATTTATATTAATTAGGTACTTAAGAGTATTTATTAGCTTTAATTTTATTATAAAATCGGCAGGATTTAATTTTCCCTTAATTTATTTAACTTCTATAATCTCTTATTATTTATATACCTAATAAAGGCATATTATATTAATTATTAGATACTTTTCTTAAGTAGTTCCTAATTTAATAAGGCATTTATATAATAATTTCAAATTCATATAGACTACTAGTAATAGTTCTATTTCTAGTATTTTATTAATTATAGATTTAACTAAAGCGCCCATATTAAAGCCATAAGCCATACTATAAAGTTCTAAAGCTAGAATACTTCTAGTAATTCTCTTATATTTAGTAAAGAACTAATAAATAATATTAGTATATCTAGTTCTATTTACTAGAACTATAATATATCTAATTTAGGAAAAGAGATCTCTATTATTTATAAATAAAGCATTTATAAAAACAATTAAATATAAGAACTTCTTTACTAGCTTTACGAATTTTAGTTCTCTAATAATATTCTCAATTTACTATTAAATATATTTATTAAATATCTTTATATTAGTTTCCGAGAATTTAATAGCTTAAGTAATAATTAATAAGTTATATAAAGCTTCTAGTTAATAAACTAATATAATATATACTTCTTTAGTATATTAGGTAATATATTAATCCTTAATAAAGAAATCTTAATAAATAGTAATATTTTTCATAGAAATAGTTTAGAGGTTTTTATACTAGTATTCTTATATAAGAATAATTCTAGTAATATCTATATAAATAATACCTTTATTAAACTTGAGATTATAGTTAATAGTAAGATATTTATATTTCTTAGCCAAGAACTTAGCCTTTTAGAGCTTTAGTTATTTTATCTTTATAAAATTATTATTTCTAATAAATAAAGTATTATTAGTTTAAAAGCTAATAATTCCGAAGAATTATTTATTATAAAGAAAGCAAGAATTATAAATTAACTATTTTATAGAAAGCTTATTAATATAATAAGAATAATAAGTCTTAAACTAGTAATTCCTAGCTTCCGGTATATTATATAATAGTTTTATAATCTTTAGAACTAAATTATTATTTAGATTTAGTTCTCTAGTAAGCTTATAAGATAAATTAATATAAAAATTATAATTAAATAAAATTATTAATTAGATATAAGCTTGCGAGATATTTTATAAATATAGCTTTATAATATCTATTATTATAATAGTAATACTAAGAATAATTCTCTAGCTAATATATTAAATAATAAATAATTATATTAATACTATATGTTTTTTACTATTATTATAAGCCTAGATAACTAGTCTTAACTTCTTAAACTCTCTCTTTATACCCTTATTCTTAATTTTATTAATAAATCGGGAATTAAAGATATATATTTCTTTTAATACCTAAGATCTAGAAATAATCTCAAATATATTCTTTTCTAAAAAACTAGTAACTTTAACTTAACGGGAATTCTTATATAGGTTATTATTTTATAGGAATACTATAATATCCGGGTTCTTATAAAAGTATTCTCTATTATACTTTAGTGAAATAGCAGAAATAGCAAGAGAAATTATACCTATATTACCTTTAGCCTTATTATAAAGTTCGAAAATAGATTCAAATTCGGGGCTATTAATAATAACCTTAATATCTCCTATATAAAAGGGCTTTATAGAGATTAAGCAAAAAGTAATATTATTATATAATAGAGCTAGTATATAGTTCTCTCTATTAATAGCTATTAGCTTATATAGCCTATTCTAATTACTAGATTAACTAGTATTTCCTTTATATTATATAAGAATATCTAAATTTAAGAGAAGTTTATAGATATTAGTAATACTAGAACTATTTCAGGTATTTAGGGTATTTATAATCTAGTATCTAGCTTAAAGCTTCTGAATTTCTACTATTACTTTCTTAAA